AATTATTCGAAGTATTAGAAACCAAATCCTACAAACCAAACAGAGGAATGGATTTCAAATCCAATCCAATCCAAATCCCATGGAATCCAAATCCCTTAAGGGAATCCAAATCCCTCAAAAATATTCCCGCAAACCAAAAGCACCCTAATACTTTAAATGGCTTTTTAAAATTTGAATTCAAACTAAATAAATAAAAGTTATATATTAAAATCAATATATAAACGAACGTTTACGAACATAAATAAACGAACGAGACTATTGTTCATGTTCGTTCAACTAACTAAGCAAACAAATTTTTTTATTCATGTTCGTTCATTTATTAAATAAACTAACTTACCGCCAAACGGTTCGTTGAACGTTCGGTTCGTTTAGAACCCTAAAACATAACCATTGTTTAATTCTAACCTAAAAAGAGGTAATAATAAATATTACCCCTGATAAGATTTGGTAGAATAGATGCCAAAACATAAAAGAAAAGAAGTAGAACCCACAAAGCACTACGTCGAGTCACCTACTCTTTCTATCACGTCATGTATGCCACGTCACATATGAGTGGACCCGGCGGCTTTAGTCAATTGCAACTGCCTTTTCTGCAACTTTTCCATTTTCGTAACACGCCCATTGTGCTCTCTCTCTTTCTCTCTCTACTCTCCTCCTCTCGTCTCCGGAAGCCCTAAATCTTACTACACCAAATCCACAAGTGAATTTGATCACCGTGTTGGGGTTTTACATGTTGCAGATCAAGATGAAGGTAAACTAGGGCTCGAATTAAGCTCGAAGTTGGATGAAGAGATGTCTGTCGCAGAGCTAAAAGAGAGGCACATGGCTGCTACAGAAACCCTGAATTCTCTCAGGGAACGGTTAAAGGAAAAACGGCTTCAACTTCTCGACACAGACGGTATTTCGTATTGTTAGTTTGGATTTGGATTTGTGTTTCCAATGTACTTAGATCTCTTCCTTTTTGTGATTTTGAGCTTTACAGTGGCGGGTTATGCAAAAGCTCAAGGTAAGACTCCGGTTGAATTCGGCCCGACTGATCTGGTTTGTTGTCGGATTTTACAAGGACATACTGGGAAGGTAAGCTTCTAGGTTTATGTCAAGTAGTAATTCCGTATTGAACTTGATACAAATATGGTTAAGAGCACATTGTAGTTTGTTACAGTACTTACGTTGTTATTGGGTTATGAGATGATACTTCGGAAGATGGATGTGTAAGCGGAAGAACAAGCCCTAGCTTGCTTTTTCTTTGACGTGGTTAGAAATTCTGGATCATTAAATTGGATCTGTTGACTCCTTTTTGGCTACGATCAAATTGATCGGCGGAGGTAATGAAGATTAAAGGAGAATGCTGAATTGAAGACAGTTTTAATTGTGTAAATGTCTTCTTCTGTCTAATTGTTAGAATGCTTACTTACATCCGTAAGATCTCTTCAATGTTCATGGTTTATATTGTCAAGTTGATTTGGTAGTTCACTGTATGGTATTGTCATCCCCTTACTTGCACAGAGTTGGATGTTGGGGCTGATTACTGTTAGGTGACGCCTCTAGAGGTTTCTCTCGAGGTTGAAAGGATTACACTAGTTCACCACCAAGACCTTAACAATTCCGAGGATAAATTTTATGAATGTACATTCTATTTAAGACAGTAAGATTAAGTTGTGAGGTTTCTCATGAAAAGGATACCTAAGTTTATGAGTAAAAACAAGTTGGTAGTTAAAGTTCAACTCCCAAAATAACAATTCAACACCTTGATAGAAGAAGATCGAGTCTACGAATGAAAGAACAAGTTGCAAGGATAAGTAACAAGACAAACCAGACAGGAGTGGAGATGACACAATTCAAAATGAATCATCTTCAAATAGACAGTGCAAACTAAGTTGTAGATTGAGATTTCATTCACGCATATCATTTGAACCACGCCCCAATTTTCCTTGGCCATTTTCTACTATTTGGGGTCATACGTCATTGTGATCATGATCATCACTATTGTCATCTTCTCTGAATTGGGTTTCTATGGGTTACTTTAATTGTCATCAATGGGTTACTTTGGATTTGCTTAGTTACTGATGACTTCTCTGTGTTTGGTGGGGTTGGTTATCCCATGGATGGAAATTGCAAGTGTTCAACTATTTTTAGATGGTTGGAAATGGAAAATGAAACCAACATTTTCTCGTAGCACGAATATGTTAAATTTCGTGAAATTTTTTATGAAACATGGGTAAGTAAATAGGTTAACCATCAGATGTGTTTCCATTCGATTCAGAAATGAAAGAAAAATCCTCTAACTGAGGAACCAAAAATGCTCTTTGAAGTAACTAGATTCCTTAAAGAGTGGTCAATTTTTTTGGTTAACCGTGGGCGTCCAAGCCAGCTTGCATGCACCTCAGCTAATCCCATGGGCCGGGGAGAACAGGCAGGAATATCTCCAGTGGCCTTGGAGGGACTCGAACTGGTGACCTTAAGAGTGGTCAATTCCATTTTCAATTGGTATTACTTCATTCCATTCCCACCTCCATTGCTTGATACCAAAACACAGCATAAGATCGTATCCTATCCTGAAATTCTTCTCTATAACCCATTAAACCAACAGAAGTGGGGTTCTTCAAATGTAAATTTAATATACAAATTATCTTGTGATCTGTTGCTTTCCTTTCCATGCATGAGTCTGTAGCTATGTGATGGATAAAGAGTTATAGTTCAACTTTTTCTTGTTGTAGTAATTACGTTGGCATTGTGAAATATCATGTATGAGCACGGTCATTCATCAAAAACTAATAATCCTGTGACGAGTTGCTTTGTATTTCAATATTTTAACATTTTATATATCTGCCTTCTACATATACAAAAAATTTCCATTATATTTTTTGCTTTTTCTTAGGTCTTATGATATGATTATTGCTTATGCCTGAATGTGCAAATTTCAACATGAAAACTAAATTCAGGTGTATTCATTGGATTGGACTCCTGAAAAGAATCGTATAGTTAGTGCATCCCAAGATGGAAGGTTGATAGTTTGGAATGCTCTCACAAGTCAGAAAACCCATGCCATCAAACTCCCATGTGCCTGGGTTATGACATGTGCCTTTTCTCCAAGTGGACAGTCAGTTGCATGTGGTGGCCTTGATAGCGTATGTTCCATCTTCAATCTTAGCTCACCACTTGACAAGGATGGTAATATACCAGTATCAAGAATGCTTAGCGGACACAAGGGCTATGTCTCCTCTTGTCAGTATGTTCCCGATGATGATACTCGCTTAATAACCGGTTCTGGTGATCAGACATGTGTATTATGGGATATAACTACAGGATTGAGAACTAGCGTATTTGGAGGAGAGTTTCAATCAGGGCATACATCAGACGTTCTGAGGTATTTTGTTGATCCAAACTTATGCCTGAGCTTATTTCAGGAATTTGTGTTTTGCTACCAATGGCACCTGTAATCTTTTATCATTCCTGATTCATTATCCGGAGGGTTTTTGCATGTTGTTGCAATCCTCCCAAAACTTGAGAGTTTTTGACTTTTGCATCTGATACTGCACAGTCTTATCTTGGGTTTTGAGAGAGGGGCCTAGACAAGGTGTCGAATGTCAAACGTCAGTTGTGGCATCCATTTTGTGATCTGGCTTGGAACAGGAAGAATGGATTAATCCTAAAATAACCTGTGAAAGATTTAATTAGTAGTTTAATTGCTCTAAAAACTGACCGTGTTTCCGCTTGTGGATGCTATTGCCGTCATTTAGTTTTTATGAAGTAGTTAGCTTTTGCTGTTTATCTATGTGCTCTATGCATGTCTGTATTTCTTTCTGGATTAACTTATAAAAAGTGTGGAGATTTTTATTCCATATGCTGTTTGTTGTTTCAGTGTGTCGATCAATGGCTCCAACTCAAGAATGTTTATCTCTGGCTCTTGTGATGCAACTGCCCGTCTTTGGGACACACGTGTTGCAAGTCGAGCAGTAAGAACATTTCATGGTCATGAGGGGGATGTTAATTCTGTAAAGTTCTTCCCGGATGGAAATAGGTTTGGAACTGGATCAGATGATGGAACTTGCAGACTTTTTGACATTAGAACTGGGCACCAGCTCCAAGTGTACCCTCAGCAGCAGGGTGATAACAACGCCGCTAATGTGACTTCTATTGCGTTCTCCATATCTGGACGTCTTCTCTTCGCTAGCTACTCCAATGGTGATTGCTTTGTATGGGATACTCTATTGGCAAAGGTAAAATGTGATCATTGTAAATTAAGCCAGTATATACTGCTGTAGACCCTTGTGCACTAGATAGGAACTTTTCAAATTGTTCCGTAAATTGCCCCTGCATTAGATCTGGGTAAAAGGTTAAATTTGAGTAATATGAGCAGACCTTGCAATAGGCAATGGTAAGCTGGCTTGGCACAAAAAGATGGTTCCTGACTTACAACATGAATATTTGCACATAGAATACCTTCTAGTTTTGTGAAACTTTGTGCATCACGCTGCTTTTTATTGCTCATCGGGTTTTGTTATGTTCTTACTACAAGATAACCTTTTTGCCTATAATGTTTCATTGGGCCATCTTAGCTTACACTTCTGCAATTTCGTATCTAGAGTTATTAAAGAAGTTCTAAAGGACAACTTCTTGCTCTTGCTTACTAGATCTGGTTACCTATGTCTGTGCCATTGTAGGTTCCTTTTTACAACTTCGAGTGAAACTCGATAACAAAAAGGGTAAAATGTTAAGCATCCACTGGTTCATATCAATTTCATCCACTGTTTGGATCTGTGGGTCCCATCTTCATTTATCCTAGCACCGAAAAGTAAACATGACCCATAATCACCTCTAAATTTGTTTCTCACACCATATGGATGGACCCACAAATGAAGATATTAATTGCAAAAGAATGAATAGGGTCCAAGACTGTGTTCTTACTCTTCCATTTGAAGTTAAGAATATGTTCATCGGTGTCTGTTTAACATCAATCGGCTGAGTAATTCGATAACGTGGGTTTTTGAATGATAGGTGGTTTTAAATCTTGGATCTCTCCAGAACTCGCATGAGGCTCGTGTGAGCTGTCTGGGTTTGTCTGCTGATGGCAGTGCCTTGTGCACAGGAAGTTGGGATACCAGTCTCAAGGTTAGCCCTAATTCTACCATCTCATATATTTCTGATGCATATCTATCCATTGTTCTTACCCATGAAGAATGAACTTGAGACGTTTTCTGCTACTCCCACCTGCCTATGAAACTAGAATTTGTCTTTTTGACAAATTACCTATTTGTTCATTGGCATTGTTACTACCTTTTGATAGAATTCAATCTCTTTTATAGTTGTTAAAGGGTATTTTAGACTTTTGACCAATAATCAAAACACATCTGCAGAAATTAAATTTGGAAATTTAGAGATTGAAAACTTTATTGTATGCAGATTTGGGCTTTTGGAGGGCACAGGACAGTGATCTGAACAGCAGTGAGTGGTAAGTTGGTAACTAGTGAGTCTGATTTGCATCTTTGATAGCGAATGCCCGTGGATGAGGAAATTGTTAAAGCTGTTAGCCGTTTTACGTATTGTGGAATGAACATAAAGTAAATATTTTCATCAGATTTTGTTGGTAATCTCTATTTTCATCTGATCGGGGATCGTTCATATACCAATGGCACAAGTTTTTTGTTTGTTTTGGAATTAATCGAGTATTTGATTTAAGCATAATGCATAACATGACTGACTACATTCCAAAAAACAAAGGTGATAAATGCAATAAAAGACAATTAGGGTTCATCTGTTTTGGTAATTTGATTTCATGATCCAGGGAGTAATAGATGGCAGCTACCCAGAAAAGGTTCAGAAGATTTGTATCGGTTTTCAATTGGTGCCCTAATTGGGGTTTCATTTTAGTACTTTGATGTTTGATTTGGGCAAAAAAGTGGATTATCAGGAACCCTAGCCGGTCCTATACAGAACCCGCTTTCAAGGATATTAACGTGAAAGGACATTTTTTGGCTTAATCTGCGGCTAAGGCTGGTCTCACCGGTGGGATTGCATGAAAAGTAACGTACTTTTAACTTGATTCATATTTTGGGTAACGTACTTGCAAAACTTCCATTTTGGTACTTAAAGATATAAAGTGTTAAACATTCATGTATCTGGGTAACCGTTGAAGCATTAATCGATTTTCATGCTGATGTGGTATCCAACTCAGTATTATTTGCTGACATTGTTAGTGGCATGGGTTCTTTTTAAATCTAAAATTAGTCTTCAACTGGGTACTTAAATGTTTAAAAAATTTACATCTTAGATACCAAAATAAAAGTTTTGAAAGTACGTTAACCAAAGTAGGAATCAAGTTAAGTACGTTATTTTTTCATGCAATTTGCTCTTTACCATATACATATTTATATACACTTAAAAAATGAAATTTGTTAAGTTAAAATGTTTCATGAAGAAAGTTGTGGTAAGTATAAAATAAGATGCATTTGAATGTTTTTTACACTAATTAAGCAAAAATTATATTATTATGCTGAATAAGAATCAAAGTTATTTTGTCTTCAAACACTCTCATATTTAAAATTTTCATTTAAAAAAATAATATATGTTGCCTAAAGTGGATTAATAAAAACAGAAAAAGAGTACATGACATTTTTGGTCCAAAAGTGAAATAGATTGGCAATCATAGTGATTGAATACTGTAATTAGTTTAAAATAAGGGGTTGTTTATTTACCTCTTAATAGTTCCATTAAGAGGTAGCATTTGAATCGTTAAGAGATAAATCTTGTTTGACAAAAAAAGGTTGTCTCTTAATGGTTCCAAAACCATCTGAATGATTTTGTATCTTGGGTCTCTCTTAACCATTTATCGTCCTTTTTCATTGTAATCAATTATATTTCATTTTTACGAGCCTCATAATCATTCAACAACTGCCAAACAGCCTCTAAGACTAGAGTTGATAATTAGTGGTAACTACAGGAACCAAAAATGTAATTTACTTGATATAAATGTTGTATGAATGAATCCTCTTTTCCTTTTCATAAATGTTTTCCCTTGCTTTATACTCACTTCGTTTTAAAATAAATGTCTACATTACTATTTTAGTTTGTCCTAAAAACAAGTGTCTACTTTTAACATAATATCTACTTTAACCACAAGGCTGGTGCCTGATTGGTTTGAGCTTGGCTCCAAAGGTCAAAAATACCTGAAGGTCTCAGGTTCAAATCCAAGGAGGAACAAAAATCTCTTTGTGGCCACAGAGATTCAAATACGGTGACTCCTAACTATTTGCAAAGCAGGTGGTTGCCCTGGGATTAGTCGTTCGCATAACAGGTTGGATATCTAGGTTAATAAAAAAATATATACTTTTCATTTATCCCTAATTATGAGATGAGGCTAAATTTATTTTTCAATAATTAAGGCTAAACTTATCCTTTTATTAATTAAGAAAAAATATAACAATTTTTTTTATCAAAATTGTATGTCTTTTTTAGACAAATGATCGTCTGAGAAGAAGAGTCAATTTGAGAAACGTAAGAAAACATCTGGACCATTAATCACTTTTAATCTCAAACTCATCTGAATCGTGTTTGATACGAGAAATGATCCGGTGCATCTAATCTTACGTTTCTCAACTTAACTCTCCTTCTCGTCAGAATCCAATTAAAACAACCCACGGCAGTGAAATTCTTGTAAATTACTAAAAATGGAAAAAAATTAAAAAAAAAAATAAAAAAAAAAGGGAAGGATGCAAGTGGAGGAGTCCTCCCTGTAAAAACAAACAATGGCCACCGGCCGCCGTACAATATAAAAACCCGATATCAAATCATCATCTCCTTCTCTTCATTCCAATCCAATGCCTACTCCCTCCGTATCATCTTCCTCTTCCTTGCTCCTCGTCGCCGCCGGAACCCTAGCTTTCGGTTCCCTCGTCTTCGTTTGCCGGAGATTCCTCCCTCCACCTTCCTCCGATGCATCTGATAATCCTAACCGCCTTCACCGCGAATACCGCACCAATCTCCCTCAACGTAGATTCAACCTCCGAAGGCTAGATCTCAGCTTCAGAGTCGGCCGGAACCGCCGGATCGTGGTGCTCATTCAGGCAGCAACCTTCTTTGTGTATAACGACGGAAGTAGGACGCAATTGTGGTTTTCGATCAGAATAGGAGGTAGCTCCGTGGAGAAAGAGGTCAACGCTTTGATGATTTTGCTTCTGTTCCGGTGGTTGATGACGCCGGTTTTTGTAGAGATGATGGAAGAGGTAGATTACGCTTCGATTATGTACCTTTGCAGCCTGCGGTTGCCGTTGATCGCCTGGGCGATCGCTTAGGGTTAGGGTTCGTAATTGCAACCAACATGTTCCACTTCCAATTTGTGCATCACAATCCATCAATGGAAATATTAGCAACAAATTGTGCAGAGAGAGGAATATGATCATCTTTTATTCCAACAAATTCTTCACCTAATTGGGGATTTACCGTACTATTCTTGCAGCTTCCATGATCCTCCACGCCATAATTTGCTGCATTTAGAAAATCCCCAAATCACATCACATTTGAAAGATCAATCGATTCTCGAAGAATTGCAAAAATGAGAAACGAAACCTTATCTCCGATTAGCACAAACTTCACATTCCAGGATTTTGGAGATCTGAGACTCTTTAAATCTCTGGTAAAATGTATGCTAAAAACCTTCCGGAAAAAAATAAGAATTCTTTAAGGGGGTGTTGGTTTTGTTTATAAAAATAACTTAATGACTTATATTCTGGTGTGATACTGGTAATAAGCATTTTTTAGTGTTTGGATAAACAACTTATACCGGTGTCAAACCGGTAATAAGGAGTTTTTGAAGAAGTTAAAACTTTCTGACTTATAATAAGTTGATAACTAATTTTGTAGAAAAACATAAGTTGTTTCAAATAAGTTGTTTTAAATAAGCAATCCCAAACACCCCTAAATTTGGAAGAATAGATGTTATTTAGGGATTAACACGGGAGTTGTTTCAAATACAAACAATGTATTTCTTATAAGCCATAGAAAACAATCGAGATGTTTATGGTTAGTTCATTAATTTACTATCGAGATATCTATGAACAATTATCATGATTTATTAATTATTATTGAGACATATATGAAAGAGGATGAGGTTCATCTGATCATGACTTTAGATTAGGAAAACAAAATAAAATCAGATATTTATTAGACTGTATATTGGTTTGTTAGAATTGCATGGTTTATAAATGAAACGTCCTTTACAAGTAGTTTTACCACTGATAAAATATGTGTTACATTTTTCTATAAATTATCTGAAAGTTTATTGAAATGATAAATTTATAAAATATTTTAATATTATAAATAATATTGGAAAAAATTTATTAGTGTAGTCATTCGAGATGTTTGTATTTCAATAAATTCTTCAATTCATGTAAAAAAGATGCTTTATATGAATCCTATGGTAATAAAATAATACTTTTTTATGTATTATTTTACATAACCACATGGGATTAGGATGTATAATAAATTAATAATACATTCTAACCACTTTCAAACTTTTCCTTTCACAAAACGGTCGATAAATTGTAAATCAACGTTGTAAGATATTTTTTTATGCGGGTACCACAAATTACGGCATGTCTTTACGGTGTTGTAAGATGTGACTTTGACTTGCTTTTTGTGCATCAACGCATGTTCTTGTGATGTCTCAATTTATTTTTACTGTGGGCCCACTCTTACATTAGAAACCGCGAGGAAAATTGCTTTGCGGCACCTGACTATTTCGCGGAAAAAACTTGGTGGCTAAAAAATAAAACTTTTTTCCCGATTGGTTTTTATGATAATAACCCTTGATTTTATTTTTTTTCCATCCAAAATCAACTAATTTTCATGAAGTATAACTTTTGTTATTTTTACAATAAAACGTTCTGTTAGCAATTAAAAACCCAAGTCCATGGATAAAAACTTCAAATGAATATGGTTTAATTTGCAAAGTGGTTAATGAAGTTTGTAATATATTTCAAACGAAGTCGATGGTTATAACAAAATGTATTGTAGAACTTTTTTCCTCTTTTAACAATCCATCAATAACTTCAGTTATGGTTCATACACTTGATTCTCGAGAAGAGATGGGAAACATGCTCGATATCATTTGATTTATATGGCAGACATATAATCAATAATTCTCCAGTGTTTTCTTATTAGAAAGAAGCATAGATTGGGCAGGTCCCGAAAGATATGAAAGATTTTGACTTTCATTAAATACAAATTTCCACATAATTCAATATGTTCTATGAGATAAAGGGAGGGGTTTAAACCCTCGATAAGCAAAAAACTTAGGTTTTTCACAACAAGCTCTCCCTATACAGTAATGATATTTGATTATGAAGGTTGGTTGCACAGCAGACAATGTTAGTCCCTTTTTGCTAGAGGGGTCTAAGCATATTTACTGACACATAAAACATTTTGTTGCAAATGAGCAATATACTGAGGAATTATCCATACGTAAAATCATAATTATTAATATGAGCTTTTTATGATAAAACTCTTGCAAAGTATAAATTTTATATGGTACAAATATAAGGGATCATATGACAAGTGTTGGGTTCCGAAGAGAATAAAAGTTGTGGTAAGAAAGGATCTCCATCTTTTATCAATCTTAATTGAAGAGTTCCAC